CCCTTGTTTTCCGAAGTTGGTATGCAAGTGTTTTTACAACTAACCACAGATGTCTACATAGCTTTGTCAACATCATGGCTTTGTGTCCATAAGGCTTATATAAGTCGCATTGTAGCCACGCACGCGTGTGTAAGTATCGATCGTATTCTGTAGTTACAATGTAGCTGTGTCAGTAAACCTTGGGTATGCAGTAGTAGCAGTTGTGCCCGAGTGCTTGAGTAAGTTGTTATAGTAACATTGTACAATTGTACGTCAAAGCCTTTATAGGAGGATTCTTCATCCAGGTGTAAATATTTAGGCTGGTCACCTGGCCCAGCGGCAGCGTGTTCGCCGCTTGTCGCAGAAGTTCACGGTTCGACTTTAGCGGTCACCCTCGACATTACTGCGAGTTCATTAACTTTTAAAATACGCTCCCTCTGCTTCACAGTGGACACTAAAGATTCCGTGGTGACGTTGGCAAGAGCGGGCCATTGGGTGACGGCTTCGTGGCCCGAATGTGCCATGTGTGAAATTTTACCCCCAAAATTACTCAATTGGGATTGTGCATAGCAACCGGCGCCACCGCCCCCCCCCACCCCCCCAATAATGAACACTTGTAGGACCCTCCTGAAAAAGAGTCGAGAGACTCCAATGAGGCCCTCGTGGGTAAACAAGTGGAATGACGCTGATGATAGTATAGCAATGCATCTCATGACCTGTGCCCTCTTTGTCAAGGTGACCGCCTGAGTTTAGGGTTCATGCACGACAACTTTCATTTTCACAACGGCTAAAAACAAACTTCTGCACAGCAGACCCATTCAGAAAGAGGACAATATGACATTCGATGGAGAAAAAAAAAACTGAGCAAATTAACGTCGCATCAGCCTTGTGATATAAAACAAACATTTTAGATATTTAAGGGACCCTTAAACAAGGGATCTCTGTGACAGTCACCGAATTACAGATTAAACATATACAAGATATTGCTACGCTCATGTAAAACAAGTGTTAATCATCTTACTCGTGGATTTTAAATTAATTTCGAAAAAGAAAATTTCACGTAATTATATTTTACTGGTTCTGATTGTGATAAAAAAAATACCTGAGGGGGTATCCTTCTGTACCCATTCTAAAAAAAAAAGATTTAACCCTTTATATTGATAAAATAGCGGCACTTCCGTGCCAACTTGCTTAAGTAACTGTTTCCAAACCGCTAATTCCACGGCACTGTCTACTTAAAATTCCCAGTACAAATGCCTCTCGCCACAATTGCTAAGCCAAGGAGACATCTAAGACGTGCACCGTACTGCAGTGTTAACAGTCACCATGAACACCGCGACTTCGAACGACTTATACGACAATCGCCGCCGCCACCGCCGCCACCGCTGCCCGCGACACTCGCGAAAGCCGCCCCCGCCGTTACGCGTCGGTGCACCCCGACGCCGACGACCGCGAGCGGCGCCATCGGGGGGGATGGCCACGTGGGCCGCGATTACCTCTTGCGGGCACCAGCTCGGACATCGCGGGAGAGTCGCCAAGCCCTCGCGGAGTGCCGAGGCTCCCCGGTTAACCGCGCGGAGGTGGGGGGGGGGGGGGTTGTGCCTGGCAGCCGCTTCAATCGCTGCTCTCGCTCGCTCGCGTTGGGGGCCGCGCGCTCGCCGTGCTCCGCACCGCGACACCCGGCCTTGTAAATGGATCTGACCCGGAGTCGGAGGGGGCTTGTCTGATAAAAGTGGCCAAATTTAGTGGGGGGGGGGGGGGGGGGAAATAGAACAGCGGCACCCAGAATAAATCTGTGCCGGGGTTGAGCTGTCGACCAGCCGGGAGGGCCCCCCTCTGCGCCGAGCGGCGGTGCTGCTTCTGAGAGCGTTGGGCTCGCGCTCTCGGCCCACGGATGCTCTTTGCCGCAGCCTTTTAATTATGACCGGAGTCGGCTCCGCCGCAGAGTCGTGCCTTGTGCGTACATGCACACGTAGCACGCCCCCCCCCCCCACCACCACCACCACTGTGAAAAAGTGCGCGGGAGAACACGCGCGCACGTCCGCGCTCGTGCCCACGCACGTCCGCGTTTCATTCATACAAAGGCTTCCACACATACACATGTGCACCCACAAACACAACAAAAATCCCCAGTTTCGCCTTTTAGGCTGTAGGGGAACAAAAAAAAGACGTTAGCGAGCACCTATTAAGGCTGAGGAAGCCCATGAAGGGGGTGTGTGTTGGCAGCACCCTGCTCGACCACCTTTAGCTTTCCAATGCCAATGTTAATGCATGAGACCAGGTCCTCATTTCAGGCTCTGTTAGACTGATGGCCTTAATCTAAGTTTTCTTGTGGTTGTTGTTGTTGTTGTTTGACTTGCATCCCACTCGGATTTTTTTGCACACAGCGTGGGTGTACGGTGCTTTTTTCAGAAATATTTTTGCTGTTTTTTTCATGGATTTTCTGTTTGCACAGTCACATAATCACTTTAAGATATTTTTCTTGTTCGTGTTTTTGTTTTTTTGTTTGTTGTGGTTGCACCCGATTCAAGAGCCGAATGGCTCACAGGGCTATACCAAAATAAATTAACTGAAAACTGAAATAACTGAATTAACTGACCCATGGGAGGCACAAACATGTACACACAGGGCTACAAAAACAAACCTGCGTCCATACACACATATCCAGCAGCACACGTGCTTACGCAGTTGTTCAAAGTGGCATGTATTCTTACCGATGCTTAAATGGATTTAAAGTTAACACTTAAGCGTAGGGTGTAAAATCCAGGTATTCTATCCATTGCGTGGTAAAGCACACACGCACACACAAACATGTTAGCATTCACACACGTACTGTATACACACGTGCATGTATGTACGCACATGCACGCTGCTACCAAATAAGCCTTTCGTTGTCTCTATAAATGGCCGTGTGGTCGGAGCCTCGGCACAGCTGCATGAACCCGCTCCCTCCCACACACTCACTCACGGAGCTTGATGGCCATGCCTCTCAAACACCCAACGTGTGTGGTCCTTCCTGACACCTGTCACTCATTGTTCTTTTGCCCCTACTTATTGCCCTCTGTGCAGATGTGTGTGTGCGCACGCGCGCACGGGAGATGATCACGTGGTGGTGGTGCAGTGATCCCGCGCACCGCGCGAGGAACCCAAGGACTTCACTTCCGATTCTTGGGAGTGGTATCAGAACCTGCTCTAAGCCTTCACCTGGATGACTCAGCCTTAAATGAGTACCTGGTGTGTAACAGCAACTGGGAGGTAAAGGCGGTCGGTCACGGACCTGGGCCACACAAACCCCCTTGGTGTTTCTTTGCGGGACCTAACTTGTGCTCACTAAAAGCACAAGCCATGGAGAGTCATCGTGGCAACTTTGTGAATGTTTGATGTTTGTTTTTGTTGGAGGGGAGTAGGATTGTGTTCGTGTAACTTCGTGATCCTTAATCTGCAATGTTGTTTATAACATGTTTAGCTCAACACAGCGACGTGTAGATGTGTTGCCCTTTGCGTGGCTGGGTGGGCACAGTGGTAACACTTGTGCATCACAACAAGACATTCCTGACTCGGGCACCGTTCTGTTTGGAGTCTCTGTTTTCGTCCCCTGATCTAAACGCGTTTCCTCCAGGTTCTCCAGGTCGCCTCCAATAGCTAAGAAATACTTTACGTAACTGGTAATTGGTGAAATGTCCCAATGCTGCAAATTAAGTGCAGCATTGGGATTACTGAAAAAAGAAAAGATAAAAAATAAAAGACTTGGCAGGACCCTCCTGAAAAGGAGTCTTGAGATTCAGCGAGGATTTCCTGGGTTAAGCAGTGTAAAGAAAATAGTTGAAAAAGCCAATTTCAGGGACATTAAGAAAATAATAAATGAAATAATAATCACCATCATAATTTATTTAAAGACATTGAATAACCACTTGTGTTATATGCAGTACAGATGCCTGCTCTGTGGTGGTAGAACCTGGAATGCAAAACTATCACTAAGTCGGCAGAGAGAATACACTTTGTAGAAGCATTGTTGTTTTTTTAACTCACAGCGGCAAACCAAAATGCCTTCATTAAGACTGCCACTTACCGTGTATAGTAGGGAATGTTCCCCGTTGTTTGTAAATATTGATGCTCCCATGCGTTATGAAGCTAAGCCTCTATGCGACTGCCCCTAAACCGCAGCCAGCATCAATTGACCAAATAGGCCAACAAAAATAACGGGGACACCACAGTCTCTACTCAAACCCACCTCTGTCTCTATAGACATTATTTACGATGCAAAGAGGCACAAAAAAACCGTACTAATCCTTGTAAGAATTAGCCGACACATTCTCTAATCATGGCTTTTGAACAGCAGCAGCCTGCTTTAACAACCGACCAAACTTAACGCCTCCTTTACAATTCACACACCCTTTGAGGGCCAGCCTGGTCTATATAAGAATTGTTAGCAGAGGCAGTGACTCTCACTACTAAACATTTACCCGTGCGAAGTTGAGATTAGTATAGCATTTATTATGGCAGCAAGTTTACTTAAGACTAATTCCACATATAAAGTGGCTTGTCTTTGTTGAATTGGCTCTTATGTAACACCGTATTACTGTGTGCCGTGCATATGCTCCTGTGTGTGTGCGCCAGTCGGCGTGAGCAGTATTGTTTTCGATTTGCACAAAGCCCCATGGCTTTCTCTTCCCGATTCTGCAGAAATGACACATTGTTGATGCTTCCCTCAAACTGTCCTTTCGCGAAAGCCCAACTTCAGCATGCTGACAAACACCGACAAGTCAAAACAAGAGTGTCCATGGTAGCCTTTCTGAGCCAAACACACGTGGATGTCTGCATACGCGAGCACGTTTCTATGCGTGTGCATATGCGTGTTTGTTTTGAGTCGTGAGCGTTAAGTGTAAATATACGTGCGTGTATGCCTGCCTGCGAGCGCTGCCCTTTGTTACGTGAACCCTTCGGTGTGTGTGACCTGCGTGTAGGAGGGTGGCAGCACGCAACGCGTGTGCACGTTTGCGTCGGGTGTGCACCAGACCGACCTTGCTGCGCGATCCCCGTCTGTTCCCAGTGAGGACCCCCTTGCTGAGCCCAGCTCCGCTCCGTCGGTCCGGCACCGTGCCCCGGAAAAGTGGCCGACCCAACGCTGCCCGTCTCTCCGTGCTTCGCTCGCCCACCCGCCTCCCTTGTTGGCGGCTCGGAGAATCCCGGCATGCCCACTCCCACGCTCGTGCCCGCGCTGCCGGTTACGGACGCCGGTGACTTATAGCTGCCACCTGTCGAGGAGGCATTTCTGGCATTCCCAAAGTCCCGGCCACCATTCCCAAAGTCCGGCTCATCCTCCGAACCCGGGGCAGGCCACTGCAGCCGCACGTGCTCCGGGTGGCACCCCGCTTCGGTCGCCCGTGAACCGAGCGGGGTGGGAGTCTGACGCCGCAGCGTGGACAAGGGGGTGCACGTGGGCACGGGCGTGAAGGTGGGGTCCAGGTCCAGGATCAGCTGATTGAGCGTCTCGAGCGACAGCTCCAAGTCCTGCTGGGACGGGGACAGCTGGGGCCCGTCGGCGCCGCTGCTCGGGCCTTCCCGTGGGCCGTGGTCGTTCTGCCGTCCCTCTATTCTGAGGGAGGACAGCGGCGGCACGGGGGAGTCGCCCCCGCGAAGCGCGGCGGCGAGCTGTCCCGCGCCGCCGTGCGAGCTCCAGGAGCCCACGCCGCGCTGCACGGCGTGGCGGCTGCTGGAGCCACGGGCCGGTGTGTGCGGCACCGCCAGGGCGCCCGAGTCCCCGCTGGGCTCGGAGTAGATGATGTTCTGCTGCGCCGGCGCCGAACACGCGGCGGTGGCGACGAGCGGAGTCCGCGAGCGGTACGTCAACCCGTACTCGTCCACGCCGGCCGAGCCGCCGAGCCCGGCGTTGGCATTGGCGCCGGCGTTGGCGTACATGCTCTGCTGCTGCACCCAGCTGTGCGTGGGGCACGGCGTGTCTTGCTGCGGCTCTTCCACCGTGTTGTAGCCGGTGCTGTCCGACAGCAGCGAGCACTGGCTCACCTTGTGCGGCTCCTGCAGGAAGCCGTAGCGCCCGGCCGCGGGCCCACTGTCGCCACCCAGCCCTTCCCCGCCGGCCCCGGCCCCCGAAGGGCTCAGCGTGCCACCCTCCAGCGAGGAGAGCGTGCCCAGGCTGTCCACGCTGCGCAAGTCGTGCGGGGGGAGCAGCTCGTCGTCCAGAATGTCCGTCTCTCGATCGTTCAAGCCGCCGCCACTGCCGGCACCGGCTCGGCGCTCGGTGTGCACCTGGACCAGAACCTGGGTGAGGGGGGAGATGGGCAGTCAGTCAACACAAGGAAGCCCAATGAGCCGATCAAGGATAATAATAATGATGATAACAATGTAACAGAGAACGACCGTCTCAGTCTTGGAATCAACCTCAATGAATCGCAAATTAATGATAATGGAAATGCAATCAGTTGAAAATAATGTGGAGGATAATAATTATAGTCAAACTTCAGTGTTTCTTTATATGCCAATGAACATGGGGAGATGATGACGTTATTATTTACAATGTTTTGTTTAATTTGATACTAAAATTATGCTTAATACACAGTTTTGGTTAAAGTTTTTCACTTTTCCCCCCAGGTTTATTGCAATTGTGCGATTGGCGTGATGCATACTTTGAATTAACACTAGTTTATGTATCTATGCATTTGTAACAAAACGAGAACAACAAATCGATGACACCACACCATATGCTCATACCTCCCTTAGGGCTCTGCATTTTCAGCGATTAGTCACTTAGTCTCCTAATGCTCGCTGTTATTAAACTGGAACATCAGCATACATTTACAAAAATCAGATGTGCGCTGTACCTGAGGCTAAAACACCGAGTCAGTCAGCCTTTAGTCACTGCTGCACAACGGTATAATAAAAAAAAATATATAATCCAACAGATAAATCATCGTCAAACCTCCAGAAATGACTCAAGGGTGCCAGCTGAGATGAGTACAGCCACCTTGCTCAATCAAGCAGGAGCACCCATTGGCTTGAACAAAGACGGTGGTCACCGCATTACGTGCTTTCACATGCGCTTCTGCGGCTGTCTGGAATGCTCTTATTTCCGATATTAGAAAACCACTGGAGCGATGGCACTTTTAAATCATATACATTGCAAAGCCATTTCTTAAGAACTGTTTTTTGTGTTGTTTGTTCTCCTTGCCCCCCCCGCACCTCCGATTAGCACGGTTGGCTACGTACGTCGCGTAAGAAGTTCAACATACATACATGTTGGTCATAATAGTGATGAGGCTAGTTGTAATTACCGGTGAAACGTCGTACTCGGAATTGGAAATGTTGTGGGTTTACTCTCCAACACACAGGTGTGCTGAACGAGGAAGAAAAAAATTGGCATATTTTGTTTAAGTGACAAACCTTACTAATTGGCTATGTCAGGTGACAGTGGATTTAACGACACCTAACCCAAAAAAAAACCCCTCTATTATGGATAATATTGGTCGCGAAAGCCTACGTGTTAAACTGACATGTTGGTCAGGTGGCTGGCTGCACAGCCCTATCAAATCCACCCAGGCGACTCACCTTGTGGTGCCGGGCTTCTCCTCCCACGGGAATGCTCACGGCGACCCCGCCTGCATGACCCCCGTTCTGCTGCAGGCCGCGCATGGCGTGCAGCTGCGTCCCCGCTGTCCTGGGGCCGCCCCGGTGAGGCTCGCCCGGGTGGCACAGGTCGCCCCCGTCCAGGCTGAAGCCCCTCAGCAGCTCCTCCAGGTCCCGCTGCTCGCTCGCCGACGGGCCCGACGGCACGGACGGCACGGGCGGCCCAGGCTCGCCGCTCCTGCCCGTGGCCGTGAACTCGGAGGGCGACGTTGACTGCGCCTGTGGCTGTTGCTGCTGCTGATGTTGCTGCTGCTGCTGTTGTTGTTGCTGCCGCTGCTGCTGCTGCTGTTGTTGTAGGAGTTGGTGCTGTTGTGGCTGTGCTTGTGGCAGCTGCGAGTAGGGTTCATTAGCCGTGCGTACAGAGGCGGTGGAGTGGCCAGAGTCGCTGCTAACGGAGAGAGTGGGATGAGTTGTGGCTGTAGGGGCTGAGTGAGTGAAGAGGGAGAGCTCTGGGGATACCTCACCCCCAGGGAATCTCTCTCCCTGTTTGCATGATGGGTCTGCATGGGAGGAGCAGGGACAGAGGTGGGAGGGTGGCGGAGAAGGGAGAAGACAAACAGGAGTAATTATAGTTCACATCAATTATAACATTCTTACATTTCTCACAGAACTTGCACAAACACGTATACATTATTTTCATTTACTGCACAGTCCATGCTGGTGTGACCTATCCAACCAACTTTTACATATATAGATATCAGGCAGACCATTGTAATCTTGTGATAGGCCAATAACTACTTGAGTAAGCATTATCCTTCCGTGAATTGCGAACTATGACTTTACGCGAGTGAAGTGTACGTGATTGAATTTTCTGCTCATAACACGTCACCTTTGTTTTTACAATTGTGCAATAAAAAATCATCGTAATGCGTATGCAGCAATTTGTTTCATACGAGTCGCATGAAAAGGAATGTAATCAAAGCAAGCAAATAAATACATTGCCGGCTCACCCAAAGTCTCGTCGCACAAGCCACTGATCTTTTATAGTCATCCATTTAGCCGCGTCCGTTAGTGGCCGATTGCATGAAACACAATGGGGGGCATCGGAATACTTGTGAGCTGAGCACTGTATTTTGTTCAGCACAAAGGTAATTTGGCGCAGGCTCACGGTCGGACGAATGTTCAGCTAAAATGCAATAAGGATCAGCTTTCGGTGTACGGTTTCACCACAAGCAAATAATTTCATTTTGTCCTGTTCTACTGTATTTGGCTAAAAACGGTTCTTGCCGAAACGTTAATCAACACTTGCCTTCGGCATCAACAATCCCCACCTGCATCATCTTAAATCAACAATTTTCACCATCGTCATAATCAAAGTTATCTTGCTCTATTAATATTATCATCGAAATTGTCTTCACAACACACCGTTGACATCAGCGTAAAGATTCCAACCTCGACGTTCTCAATATCATCACATCCTCATCACCATCATCATGACGATCGTCCCCATCATTAATGCCCACAGCACCGACAACACTCTTGTTTCTCCGCACGATTAATATCAAGCGTAACATAAGAGCCAAACTTACCGACAGCAAACAATTCACTGCCACTTTCACCACCGCGGAGCAGAAACACTTCACCTGGTTACTCGCCAAATAAAAGCCACCCCGCGGGAGCTTGTCCGCTAATCCTTGCGACCTTTGTGTGTGTGTGTCGGCCAAGAGACTCGTGTGTGTGAGCGAGCGAGTGAGCGTGCGTGCCGTGCTTTGCGTGCGGTGTAAATTAATGAGTGTCCTCTGTTGGGATTCCTGGCTTCTTAATTCCTAAACAAGTGACGGCGCTCGTCTGGGGAATTGGGGCCAGGAAGTGCGTGGGTTCAGCCGCCCCGAGGCTCCCCCCATGCACTTCCAAAGTGAATGTGTAAATATATAAATAAGAGTCGAGCCACCACACCCGGGCCCCCACCCCCATGTACATGTAGGAACGCACCACACCCCACCCTACCCCCTCGTGCACTTCAACCTGCCTCTCGTTCCACTCCCCATAGCAAGGCCCCCCCCACACACACACAGTCTAACCCCGGACACGCACACACACATCCCAGGACGAGTGCACACACGCACGTGTGCACACAGACACAGCAAGCCTGCACAAGCTGCGCTCTCACAACCCCGAGGTGCAGTGTCGTGCATACACGCAGCAATCTTCCATACAGACTGAACAAGACTGCTCTCACTGCACCGGGTAATCATTTAAAGGCTGAGTCGACCTAGGGGAGGCCCGGGGTCAGTTCAGATAATTGTAAACTGGCGTTGACCGTGTGCGCGAATGGAATCGAACTCGGGTGGCCGGGTTTGTCGCGCAACGCTTTGTGTGTTGTACAAACAACACACAAAGCTTTCAACAACGAGCCCATACACAGTTTGTATATAACGACAATTAAATGTAATTTGGCAAACGTGCATTTTTAACGAGCAAAAAAAAATAGGAAGAGCAATTTGTAAAAAAAACCCCGCCAATTGAAGCCCTATTAACGGTCACTTTGTTTTGATCCACAATACCAGCACTGTACGTTATAGCCAAGCAGCACAGCTCCCGTTACGAATGCAGAAAAATGTTACTCGTCAAGAAAGCGGGAGGGGGGTCATTGAGCCTCACTCCGCCGTGGCTCGGAGCCGGATCTGGGCAGGAAACTCATTTAAAGACCCTCCACCCCCATCAAACCCCCACGACGCCGACTGAATGTTTTATTCCGTCTAGGAGGGTGGTAATTCCCCAGTTAAGGAGCGTTCACGTAAACATCGCCGCTGGTTGTAATGACTGCTGCCTCAGGAATGCTCTGTAGGAACGGTACACAGTGTCTTGGATGTCTATCTTCCATCTGGCCGACTGTCTGGTTCTCAGTAATGCAGTGCCATAGACTGACATGCCATGTCAAAAGCATAGCTATCAATTGTGTGCATCTTTGCCTTGAATTAAACCGATGCCCATAAACAAAAAAACCCAATGCGTATTACAACTGTGTCGCATGTAGGCACTCTATACAAACACGGTGGCTCAACAAAAGGTACCGTGCAGTAATTGAAATATAAAAAAGACACCATTGCGGTAACCTCCCTAGGTGATCGTGGATCAGCGTACACAACTTCAACAGGTAACTGGAGAAAGCTCAGTCAGATAAGGCGTTATAGGGATGGATTATTTTCAGAGAGTTTTTTTTTAAACATAAGCTAAGAGCAATAATGGAAGGAAGCAAAGAAACGGCACTACACATCGACAACTGCCGGCGATTAGAAGGCCTGGCAGGAGGAACGCGATCGCTGCTCATTGCAGAGGTTCACGATTCAAATCCAGCTGCCGCCCTGATTATTACTGTGGGTGCGTTAACCATTAAAATATGAGCCCTCTACTTCAAAGTCGATGTGTGTCAGCGTAATGGTCCAAAAGTTAGAAAATGTTAAAATTACCAGCAAATTACTCCATCGGAATATACATCACAATCATAGCCCCTTGAATGTAAACACTTTGGCAGGACCCTCTTTAAAAATAGCAATGCGACTCAGTACGACTATCCTGGCTAAACAAGCACAATAATATCTTCTTTGGTTCTTTCGGTAAAGTCACGTAGAATGAGAATAAAATAATAAATTAATGAAATAAAATAACACAATAAAATTCTCACGACGTTTCGGCCACAACACAAGTGGCCTTCTTCAGGTGAAAGGAACAGACCTGTTGGGACGACAGAGCTTCAATGAGAATTTTATTGTGTTATTTTATTAATTTATTATTTTATTCTCATTCTACGTGACTTTACCGAAAGAACCAAAGAAGATGAATCCTTGCAGTCACGAAAGCTTTAAATCGAAAACCACAATAATAGAATAAACCGAGACAAGGAAAAATAGCTCTGCTGGCAGTGTGGGGAGTGAAAAGCGACAGCGAAGAGATGGGAGTCACCTGAGCTGAGAAATCCTGCAGGCGCGGTCCACCACCAGCAATGAGCCCGTACCTTTAGCACATGTGCAGGTGTTATGCTCAAGCCCCGTGGAAAAATGTGGCATTTGTAGCGGGCAGTTACAAACCACCCACACACTCCGTTGCCTCCCCTCCTGTCAACACGTGCTCCTCCCTCCTGGAATCCCTAACTGATCCTTCCCTTGCAGTGCTCTTTATATCAGGTCATTCACACCCTCGCACCTTAATTTAACCCTTAATCTAGTCGGGGCAAGTCTCTCCGCACACTCACCGACATGTACACACATGTACACACACACCGAAAATGTGTTTGGGTCATAACAGCAATGAGGAACTCCTGTTTCGACCTTTAAGATCTCTTCCAGTCTGGTACAACTACGCTTTGATCAAAGGGAAGCGTCTTGACACCTGCAGTGCGAGTTCTTTGCCTCGGCGAGGACAAAGAATTCTGACGTGTTACGAGAAAACAATTGAAACTGGTGTCAAATGTACATAGACACACACACAAAGATCCACATTTTACAGTATAAAATGCTTGGGGTATCGGGATTTATTCAACATTTTAAACACGGAAAAAGGGTGAAAACTCCATCACGTATGCTCTGCAAGAGCTATGTAAGAGCATACGTGATGAAATGTGTTGATAGTGCTTGAACGACCCCTTTAAGTGAACGATAATATTAAAGTTGGGACGACACATTTGGAGATTGTGGTGCCAACGGCCATGCATTTCCACCTCGTCTCTCTCCCATACCATGCTACTGACCACAACGCACACAGTTAGTAATGTAGGACTGAGAGTTTGTCGAGGGGAAGCTCAGGACAGCTACAGATTTCAATTGCCACTCACGCTGGTGCATGGTGAGGAATTCAAATCCGGCTCCACTCACGCACTTCTGCGGTGCCCTTAACCGTCGCACGATCGCTCCCCACACAAACACATGTCCACACACAGAATCGCAAACACGTGTGCACAAAGCACACATACAAGCCACGTACACAGTCACAGGCCAATTTTTTTTTTTATAAATCTATACCTGCTTGCTGTCATGGTAAGCCTTTTGGCCTCAAGATAGACTTTGAATAACCGAGTTGGTGTTCTATACTACAGCAGCAACTGCTGCTCTATAAGCCCTTTCCCTTTAATTAACGCGTGTGGTCAGCTTTACCTTTCCTGCTCACCTGTGGAATTCCTTTTATACTTTTACTGCGAGTGTCTTGAAAGCCTAGTTATTACCGGGTAATATGACCAGTTTCCAAATAACACACTGTTAACAATCGTTCATCTGTTGTAAAAAAAAAAATACATTGTTTGGAAAGGCACATGCAAGGCGAGTTGGAAAAAGGGGGAAAGTTCAGCTGTCAATAAGCTCTGTAAAGATGACTTAATGCTAAACACAGTTGTAGCCATACCTTTACTGAGCTGGGAAGGCCATTCGAAAAAAAAGGAGGCGTGTCACTCAAAGGGGGTGCTTTTTTTCTTAAAGGTCAAAAAAACCAAAACCCCGTGTGAAGATGGACAGAACTGTATCTTGCCGTTCGTGAATGCACTTGCCGCTTCTGATGTTTCGTCGCACTC